GGAGGGGGTGGGGGGGGGCTCAACTTCTGATCCCGTCTCACCTAAGAATTTTGGAGGAACTTATGCATCACGTGTACAAAAGCGACGACTTCAAATCTCTCCTCTTGTGTACAAGATTTCAGGGAAATCTTGAAGTCTTAACTGGTCACTCTGGTTAATTAATTCATGAATTACGCTCGCCTTTCTAAAAATTCATACATCACATCTTAATTTTGACCTTATCGTCTGTCACGTGTAAACCATGTGCCACACTCTGATGTGAATACTTAAGTAAAAATCTCACCGATGCATTCATGTCAGTTGGATAAAAGTTGTTAATATAGAGCAGGTTGGTCCACCAGTACTTGTCACACGCGTTCTTTGCCTGAGCTTGATACCAAAGAGGCCCGTCGCCAAGAAATCCATTCATTTTGTCGTAAAACAACAAAACGAACATTTAAGCTGGAGTTAACCTGGGAAAGATTTGGAAAAATCTATTAGACGAGGAGCACTGAACAAATTCATAAAAACAATCACGATACATGACGGACTGTCCTGGACAGCGCACATTATCAATGTCTACCTGACTATAGATGATTTAAACGAAATGTCACGTTTACGGAGATGAACTGTCATTTTTAACACTTACAACCTTTTTCCCATTTTTATCACAAATTGAATAATTTTTGATTAATTTTAATCACTGATTGATTAATTCATTATACAATTTCCGTTTGCAGCTAACAGTACAAACCATTGTTCCTTTTTATTTCATCTACGTCAATTTGTTAGCTAAATTCCCTTATGCGCTCTTGGTTCAGTTTTCAGTAGATGCTCATTCGATAAGGAGTAAACTTAACTGAGTTCGAAGTTTTCTAGAGCTAGGAGTCCTTTATCCCCTGGAGGCAAATCCAATGTAAGTCAGGCTTGTTACGTTCTTTTTTGTGGTGGTTGTTGTTTGGGCTTTTACGCAATCTGTAGCTTTATGGGTTCCTCTTATTTCAAGACGTTGTGTATTTCTTTGGTTTTCACCGCATGTGCTGTATAATTAAACGAATTTGAAATCTTGCTGCCTGTCCTCATACTTCACGGTGATTGACCTGGCGAACTCTGATAGACAACACCACGTGTCTGCGGCATCGGGAACGCGACACGAAAAGAATACTTCATAAACCATAAAAAAAAATTTTATAACCCAGCCATCACGAGGGTGGATAAAAATTTACCTCTTATGGCAGTTTTGAGGTTCCGATTGGTAATCTAATCGCTGGATAATTGTTTGCAAATGCACGACGAATTCAAGCATGGACGCCGCCATTTTGGAAACATCCCAGTAACCAGGACAAAAACGCGAAACTACAACGTCGCACATCGCAAACAAACAAAATAATCATTTGAAAAAAGTGTCTTTTTGCCCTGCTTTTAATTGTTGAAGCTGATCAGAATGTGAAAAATCAGACGGTTTGTAATCTGCTCCACAGCCATTGACTCGGTTTGTTACGCAATATATCCAGTAGAACTTTGAACTTTTAAACCTGTAGACTTAACGATGACCAATTTTATAAATTGTCAAGTGAGGAAGAAGACGACTTACCTCCAAAATCGGTGGAAGTAGTACTTAAAAAGTGGTAGCTGTCCATTTTTCTTCTCCATGTGACGCAAAGACAAATATGAAACCAGAAGACCGCTGTAAAAAAAAAAGAAAAAAAAATAAGTTAATTAAATAGACTGCTCTTTTTTTACAAGGATTTCCATTCCTGAAAAAAAAACCAACAGTACACGAGTAAAATTACGACAATTCTTTACGTGTGTCTGATATCGCCAATCAGCTTAGGACACATCAATCCCATTTCGAGCCACTCTGCCAAGTTGATGAACGAATGAATAGCAAAGCCTTCATCATTCTCAATCAAAGGTCGTTTGACGAAATTTTTCTCGGATTATGGCTGCTAATAATTCGTATCGCTTACAGTTGTTGAAGCTGAAGTTGAAGTTGAAGTTGAAGTTCATTTATTTGTTTAAGCAGGTTGATTAATTGGCAGCTGTAATAGCTGATGTGGACCTGCTGTCCTAACCCACCCATCCCACCCCAGGGGAGGACATCCATCACACAGTAATCTCGTGTGTGGGAAATTAACGTCTCCTGCCCCAACCCTGCAGGAGACGGGAGCTCCATTTATTCGTCCCTATCCGAGAAGACTAGAATATCTAACCATTTCTTGATGTTATAGAAAGGTAGCAAATTCTTCTCAATTATTTTAAGACCTTGAGTGTTGGTCCGGCCGGGGCCGGACAAACACAGACAGTGACGTTCAAATTGTTACGGATTGTGGGTCATATTGTTTTCATTTGAAAGCAAAGACGACTTTTCTTGTCAATAAAGGCCTATTATGTTTATATAATAAACAAAATAATATATGCTTGCTGGCAGATCTGAAATTTCTCTTCTCGCGTTCGACTAGTTATCTCACTCGTTACTTCACTCACTCGTGGGCTATCGAGTTGAACATTTAAGAGAAATTCCTTATCTACGCGCACCCATGTATTACTATTAGGGAAACGACTACTTCATTAGGATTCGAATCTCTTAAAAATTGCGAAGGGCAGCCCTGCATGTGAAGTGTCTTCATTGCCCGTGTGTATATTCTCCTAAAAGAGAAATATACGTTATTAACCAAGCTTGTTCGGTCAAGATGGCTGGATATTGGCCGAGTTCTTTTTTTGTATTCTTATGGCCGAGACGAAGTCGAGGTCCATAAAAATGCGAAAAAAGAACGAGGCTAATTCCAGCCATCTTGACCGAACAAGCTTGGTTAATAAAGCATTTATTATATCGCAAAAATATTTTATTTTATTAAGAATTAAGAATGACTTGTTACTTCGAGAGCTGGAAAAGAAAGTCAACTGTGTTTGTAGCGCAACAAACTCACGAGAGTCGTTTCTGTTTTCTTTGTTTTGACTATCATCTGCCGCTTTTTTGCATTTCCATCCCCGAAATCATCCAAGAATTACGAACGTAGTTCTAATTCTATTTTTTTCATGCGCGGGATCAATGTGGGCAATCCAGAGCGGGCAAGATGGTAGCCAATCAGAAGACAGGATCAGTTTCATCTTGCCCACGGGCGCTGCCAGCGATGTAACAAATACAGGCTCTCGAAGAAAACAAGTCATTCCTAGTTCTTAATGAAGCAAATTCTTTGAGCAATATAATAAATCCTTTATTAACCAAGCTTGTTCGGTCGGGACGGCTGGATATTAGCCTCGTTCTTTTTTCGCATTATCATGAACCGAGACCAAGTCGAGGTCCATAAAAAATGTAAAAACAGAACTCGGCCAATATCCCGTGAGCCATCTTGAGCCCACACTATCCCATATATAATTATTTAACCATAAACTCAAAGGAGCAAACTTTCGACCACATACCTCAGGAAAAAGAAACTGTCCACCGAAAAGGTAGCATTGCCAATAGCCTCGAACGTGAATCGTTGTATGATTTGAAGCAGGAGCAAGAAGTTACCTACAGATAAAAAAAGGAGAGAAATACGAATCATTTAACATGTACTTAGCAGACAATTGTCTACATTGCACGCGTCATATTTAACAAGAATCTTTACAATTAGCAAGAGAAAAAATAGCCATTATTTTCTCTTGATGAAAATTAAACAACCCGAAAAGGAGCCACACTCTCAAGTGCAAACGTTAATCTAGGAAACCAGTACAATAATTATGCACAGTTGAATTAGTTCGTGATAACGCTTCCAGGACAATTTGAAGGAATGCGCTTCAGCTTTGGAAACAACCGGCCGACGACAGACCTAGCTGGATGTATGCCATCAACAGGCGAATCAGGTAGTGAACAACAGTTTATATTCTCTCGTGAACAATAAAGGACAACAACACAATGAAAGACTCCGGATGCAAACGCAGTTCCAACTTCTACAAAGTTTAGGTCCCTCGACTGTCTTCGAATCTGCCTTTCGGCAGTAGCTGGCAGTTTTAACATGCGGCGAGGATCCCTTTCAATTTCCCCGCTTGTTTTCATGGCTTCACCACTTGAAGGCTAAATGGAGTGTCCAAAAACCAAAAATAAAGTAATCAGAACAGCGAATCAATGCAAAGGACAATAAAATCAACGAGCCAAACAGAATTCAAAGAAAAAACAAGCGAACCGCTAAAAGCGCGGGAAAACTTGAGTGACCAATTGGTCCGACTGAATCTGATTGGTTCAAAACTAGAAAGAATTTTCTAAACCTATCACACGGCAAAGTAAAGCAAAACCAAAACCAGATTACGGCTGGCACTCGATCAAAAGTTTCTTCATGAAGTGAACAATACTTACTCATAGATGACACAGTTTGAAAACCATACACATGTCCCAGGATCACCCACCACATACTTATCACCCTCATTCCATTGATTGAAGTGATGGCGCTGGCAGGGACTTTGGTGTCCATGATACGGCTTGTGTTTTGAATTAATGAAAAACACAGGAAAAATCGCACCACTACATCTACAGGGATGTAACAAGAAAAAAGAAATAAGGCTTGGCTGTGTTTCATCAACACCTCGTTATAATTATAGTGGAACCTCGATTTAACGATGTGCCAAGTGACTGGGTAAATTGGTTCGTTATATCGAGGGTTCGCTATATCGAGGTTCTGTGGCACACACTTTACCGTAACTTTAGCCGGGCCAAAACTGAAGTATCGTTCGTTCTACCGAAGAATTCGTTATATAGAGGTTTTCGTTTTATAGAGGTTCCTTAAATCGAGGTTCCAATGTAGTTCAAGTGTGCGGTAAACCTAAGTGTTTGCATTGACCCTTTTGTAAGATTAACTCTCACCCCTAGATTCCTCGTCATGAATAAATTAGCATCTCTGAGTAACAAGAATTCTACAACATGCGGAGACAATTGGAAACCGCCCAGGGTTGCTAACTTCATCAAATCCTTGAAAAAAACAAACTGATAAGGGGTATACCTGTTCGATGAGCAAACACTGACTCCTGAGACATGAACGGTCGGCAGAAAACAGACTATACCATTTATGAATAAAGTGGGTAAGTTTATAAGGAAACTGTAAAGTTGCGTAGGTGAAGGAGTATAACAAGATAATTTGGTTTTATCAACCGAGTTGATCATGCGAATCGGTCACCGTAAAAAAGATTTAGAACCCACGTTTCGAGCGTCCGCCTTTCGTCAAAGCGAATCCATTCGCTTTGCCGGACTCACTCCGATGAAGGCCAATCACTCGAAAAGTCGACTACAATTTATATACATTAACACCGTGGCTTTGAAATTTTTTCAATTGTATGTGTAAATCACGTGTGGATATAAAACACATTGAGCTGTCAGTGTTTGGTGAGCTTTTTGTGCAGTGTCAGGCAATACTTGTAAATACTTTTGCAGCGATACAAGTGATGCGTTATTCAGATTTTCCGGCAACACTTCCGCCTAGCTCCACATTTCATTATGCATACAGTTCTTGGATAAAGAAAACAATGAGAAAACAATAGATTGCCTTCGAGATTACGGCCTTGTTGTAGAATGATAGGGGATTATAAGGAAATCTACAGGCCCACGTTTTTCCAAGGGTGGAAAACGCTCTCTAGTGGATATATCTCTATACTGTGGATAAAGCAGTAAAGTCCGCTGAATAGCGATTTATCAGTAGGATAGTGTTATCCGTCCTTTTAACAACCGGGCTTTCCACTTACTTGGCTCATCTTTCATCTGGGGTAAACTTGTAAGCCTGGACGATACACTAATTGCTACTTCAGGGGACGGGTCCACGAACTGTGGGCTGTTACTGCTAAGCATATCACTCCTTGTGAATGAATCAGAAACATCATTTCCAGGCGTTGGCAAGGAGCCGTCTCGGATTGGCATGAAGTCATTACTTTTGTTGACAGGTACTATGGGTTTTTTCATAAAGCTAATCACAATGTCACTGAGTGTTCCCACAAGGCAGAGGAACAGGATTAAACCACACAAAATCCTGTGAAAAAATTCATTGATAAATTAATGACATTTTGAAGATCTTACAATCTACTTGACATCTGATTTAAGTGCTTCATGATTGCATGCAAATTATTTTCAAAACCTTTTTTATTTCAACTAATATCCAAAAAGTAACTTTTGCCTGTGTTAAGAAAAATTGCAAAACACCGTTTGTAATCAAATTATAACAAAATAGATGAGCTAACCAGTACATACACATGCATTTATCCTGTAATTCCCAGAAGTGATTAACATGTAACTTCTCCCTATAATATCCATACATTATACAGCAAACAGGTAATGAGAATATTCAAATGCATCAAACAGAAGTTGTCGTCATCTAGCTGACAGTAAATTCTCAAATCTAATTTACATGGAAATGTGCGGTAGCAAGAGTGGAGAATTAACAATCTGATCTTGGGAGTCAAGGAGTTCAAACATATCAAAGTTTGATTTGAATACATGCATTAAAACCATATGCAATAAAATTCCTTGTATGTACTTACAGCGTGAGTATTACTCCTGTTGTGTATTCTGATTTCTTGCTGCAGTAAACAGCTTTGCCACCTGGTGGAAGTCCATATCCTTTCTGAGGCCTCAACACTACCTCTGTCTTCTTCATTTCATTATTGATTCCTGTGTGTAAACAAAAACAAAGAAACCCTAAGCTTAACTACTTAAAAATTCTTACATTCTGGCTTTCACCTGATTTGTGCAATCTTAAGAATATTTTCTTACAACAACAAAAAAACCCAAGACTTTACTACTTTTAAGTAGTAAAAAAAAAGTAGTCAATTCTGGCTTTCACCTGATTTGTGTTATCTTCAGAATATTTACTTATTAGACTAAGTATAAAATTGTGATTGTACGCACCTGTAAATACATCTTGCAGACCTTTTGTTACATCCTGTTCACTGCATTGTTTTGGAGCACAAATACCCCAGCGGACAGGAAATGACTAGTGGTAACAAAGAAAAATGAAGATCGCAAGGTTATATACCACTCCTTGGTCTGACTCATCTCATTCCTGGGGTGGTTACTAAGCCCATCTTTATGCCAGATCTCATGAGAAATTATCCTTACTGTCAGCCATACAACTCTTATGATGTTAGTTTGGAGAATTTGGTATTGGATCAACTGATGATCCTGTGGTTTATATTTTTTTTTAGTATAATTTCAGGGCTCAGCAAAGAGTTTCCAGCAATCCGATTGGTTGAGCAGTTCCTTATATGACGCAATAAAAACTGCTCCATGCGGTTTATATAAAATGTTGAAATAAAATGTTAATGAATGTTACTAAAATGTTATGATTTTAGAAATTTCTCTGATGTTCAACTCTGAAATTATAACAACTATTGGCCTCAGGTTCGGCGAATATTGTCGAATAATCCCCTTGACTTCGTCTTGGGGATTATTGGACGCTAGTCACCTCGCCTTCGGCGAATAATTGTTAATTATTCTCATCACTTGTCTGCTTGATATTGTATTGAAGTTGTAAGGAGAAATTCTATCTTGGTCACTCATGGGAAGTAACGGGGCAAAAAGGCTATTCTCCCACCCCTATGTTTCTTAATGAAAACCCTGACTTTAATTGTGTATTTGTGTTAGTTAAACTCTGCTTGCAGTTAAAGGAGGTCTCTGGATACAAGACAAATTGCAGAGCTACACACTCATAAATCTGGATTACGTGATTGGATCAATGACTGCCCCAACACAAACTTGTGATAGTGTAGTACAATTCCTGGCTTATTCACAAATTTCCAAAAGCTTGCAGAACATGCATCAAAAATCCTGGCAAAGCGGAAAAGTTAAAATGACTTTCTTTAGGAATTAAATCATACTAGATTTAACCTTTTACTCCCACAATCTCATAATTTTTTTTTAACAACTTTATTGGGTTTATAACATAATACTTATAACTATAAAAGAAAAACATATCACATAGAGACAAAAATAAATTAAAATAGAAACAAATTAGTAATTCTAACCCAAAAGGGCAGGTGCAAATGGGACTGGTGTCCCATGCAAGGCTGCCCACACTACTTGATGTCTGCCCATACATTTCTTATGATGTTTAAGTTCCAGGAATTTGGTATTGGACTTAACTAATAATACTCCAATTATTATTTTCCCAATTCTCAGAAATTTTGTTGTGGTCAATCATGGTAGTGAAAGGGTTCAAATGTTTTATTAGTACTCTGTCAAATATTTTTAACCATCAAGTTAACATTATGTATATTCATATACTGACCTCAGTGATATTTAAGGGAGGTTGGGGAAAGGACACATAAGCCAAACAGTAGTGGGCATCAGGAATGCTTTCAGTGCACTCACTGTAGGATCCTAACCAACCAGTGTTCCCCAGAAAAAGTCCACTTTGAGGTTTACCAATAGCATCCAAATCTGAAGTCAAGAGACAGCCACTTGTTACATGTAGTACGGATAATTTTACCAATCGTTGTACTATTATACTGTTACAGTTATCAAGGTTGTTGACTTTGCTATAATTGTCACTTTTACCATTACCATTAGCAACAACATAACTCGACTGGAGCCAACAAAGGCTGCATGACCACCTGATGAGTGCAATAGCCAAGGCAAAGTTCTTGCAACATAAAGGAATGTAAGAATGTTGCAAATAAAGGGATTGAAAAATAAAATAAACACTATATCTTTCACTTGAAAAAAAAAAAACAGATTTAAGTGTTGGTTTATTCGCCTCTTATTTCTAAAAATAAAACAGCAGTTGCAAAAATTTTATCAATAAAAGGACTTTTTAAACCACAAAAACCACAAAAAATAGCAGCACTTAATTAAGTGCAATACCATTCAGCCTCATTTCATTGAGGCTTTTTTAAGACCAAGATAGGGTGTTTACAAGTATGTTATTTTTCAGTCCTTCATTTGCAAACATCACATATTCCTTTACATTGCGAGAAGTTTGTCTTACCTGTCACACCTATTGGGTGGTATGCATGTGGAGCCAAGTGCCAAAGTTATAGTATTACATTATATTTAAGAGGGTACACCATGGTTCACGAAACAACCATGCTAAAACAAATTAACCTGAAGTTCAGCAAGGAAAATAATATCACTGTTTTACTAGGCATAACTACTCACTGCAACGTCGGAGACATTTAGTTCGCACAAACTGTAGTTTCATTTCCCGTAGCAGGGGCAAAAATATTTCATTTGCTCGCAAAATAAGACTACAAATTCAAGCTTATTTATTTTATTATCAACGAAATTAGTGCGAAATGTCTGAAATACGGACGGTCGATGGGGGATTCTACCAGACCAAGTGCGCACAATGTTCAAACACATACGGATAGTTCAAGAGCTTTAAAATCCTTTGTAGCCGTCACCGAAGAGAGTTGACCCTTCAAGAGCTTGAGAGAAACTACGGAAAGCGACATCGAAACTATATATATCACGTGAATTCGTGTCTGATCTAAGATAGTATGGTACAGGATAGTACATGTAGAGAAGCCCGGTATTTTTAGCGCAAATCTAAGCAGGTCATTTTGTCGTGACATCACCATCAAGTTTAATTCATGATTCCTAAGGCAGATACAACCGAAAAGTTGGAAATCAATTGCGCCATACTCACAAGAATATGATAGCGGTGATCGCAACAATGAAAGGTTCTGAACAATAGCTTGGCACTCTTCGGAGACGTCTGAAAAGTTAAATTTCGGGAGTGGAAACGGAAACTGGAAGCCGAACTGTTGCGTGATGTGACTGTTGCGTTCCCAAATTGATTCAGGAGATGAAGATGAACATCTCTGGAACAGAGAAAGAGCGACGAACACTGCAAATAATTTCACAGCTGTCTTTGTCGTTGCACAACCCTCCATGTTAAAAGCCGCACAACATCAGCCCTGATCAGTCGTAATGAGATATGATGTAATATTAATGAGACATTCAACAAAACACATTCGCTCAAGGGGAGAGGGAGACTGGAAAAGACGACTCTTCGTGGTCTTCTAGAATTAGAAACAATGTCACATTTCTAAAAGGGTCTATTGCCTGCACCTGGAGGAGGGAGTGGCGGGTGGTCGGGTGTCAAGCGGGGGGTGGAGGCCGGGTACTAACGAGTGGAACGTAAGCGCTAACGAGTAGGACCTGTGTGAAAGTATGATGTCTTGAGTAACGAGGGTCTAGCAATACTGGATATCACGAAATGCTCGTCCGCATAACTACAGAGAACGACATAAAATCAACAATCGAGCTCTAAGCCTCGAACACAGCCGTGAAAATCCCAGGAAAAAAGTCCTGCACCGTTCCTGAAAAGTAAAAAATATCATGAACAGTTTGACTGTTTGTTTTTTGGTTCTTGGTAGTTGATATGGTTTGATCTTGCAATCCGTCTGTTGTCGGCAAGATCCGCAGAAGTCATCGTCAGTCTCGACTCGACACTGATAAACTCCTCTGAGTCGAGCCTAAACCATATTTATGCCCGCGAACATAAACTCTATTTTCATATTGCAAGCTCTCGAGACGCGTGCTTACAGTATGGATAAATCAAAAATTATTTCTCAGTCAGTCACGATTGTGGTAAAGTACGATCTATTCAAAGAAACCTGACCAGTATTTCCCGGAATGGAGATCAAATGCTCATACTTTGCGTTCATGCATTACACGTCGTTTCCAGTTTCTCTCCGACGAGGTGTTTTTCGCTGCATCATCAATGATGTCATATATATCTTAGCATGCGAATTAAAGGTGGCAGTAACTTCATCAACAAAGATAGCCATGGAATTCCTTGCCATCTTTTTCGCTTTTACTTTGCTTAACACGTATTCTTGTGCATCTCCTGGATTAGTTCTGGAAAACTACAGCCAGCTCGCACAAAAGTTCGGCTTGCCACCTCTCCCTCCACTCCCTATAAAGTTCAACTTCTCGGACATCTCCAAAGAATGCCATGATACTGTTGTCAAGCTTTCACAATCAGCGAGCGCATATTCCTGTGAGTATAACACAACCATTTTCGTATTTTATTTGGATGTCTGGTGACTTAAAAATTATCCTTGACGAGTTGTCTCGAGGGAATATGACCCCCACCAGCCCTACGTAATTTGCATTGAAAATCAGAGCGCTTCTCAAAATGTACAAATATGTACCATGTCCGTGATATATCTCGTGATTAAATGATCTCGATTTTATCTTTTGAGGCCAAATTCATGCTAGCTTGATGCCCAAACGTTAGCCCGATCATGCAGGTATTCTGGAGCCGATTTTTGTCCCTCATTTAATTCATAAATTTAATATTTGTAAACTTTGCCGGTTACCGGCGGATAGCCGAACCCTCGATCGGTAACTTGATCTTAGCGAGTACATTACATCCCTTAAATTCGCCTTACAAAGTTGTAAAAAAATCACGGTCTGTCTAGGTGAATAGAGCGGTCACTCTTAATTAGGCGGTCACTGGGTGATGTCCCGTAGATCGCCTCGATCGCCTTTATGAAACGGTTCAAACGTCACCGCCGCTTGGGTCCTTGCTCTCGTTTGGCAAATTGACTGCGTGTTAGCGCATGAAATGCAGTCGATTCGCTCGATTACATTTGATGTTTTTTTATACGTTATTTACCTTCGAGAAGACGTTTAATTTATCTCAAGACGACATCCTAGTCACAAATCTGCGTTGATCATTAGTTGGTGCGCTCCAGTCCCGTCAAAAATGTTCAGAATTGATTGACTAATATTTACAACTGTCGTTCTCCTCGCTCTCTTCAGACGTAGATGCAATCGGCAAACCTCAAAGTGGACTTTTCCTGGGAAACACTGGTTGGTTAGGATCCTACAGTGAGTGTACTGAAACCATTCCTGATGCTCATTATTGTTTGGCCTACCTATCATTTACACAGCCCCCTTTAAATATCACCAAGGTTGGTACTTACTGCTAATCTTTTCATTTAACAAACATTCATAGAATTGTCAAGTTTTGCTACAATGTACATATATTTTGTTGTACCAGCCTTGAATTTAAGTGAACTGTAAGTTTATGCAGGCAGACAGTGTAAACCCCCCTCACCCCTAGCCTAGGGCAGCAACATTAGCAGGGCCTTTGACTGGTGCTCAGTGCTAAACTTGTAAAATGCAGTGCACCCATAAGCCAACTTTCTCATCTAATTGAAGCTAATGACCCCACTTGAATCCCCCACAACTATTAAAAAAAAAGATGGTAGACACGGGCTCATGTATTTTCTCTAACTTTATTACATGGAACTTCAGTGCTTTAAGTACTGTACATGTAAGTAACACAACATGGACAAAGAGAAAATGTCAGTGGGTTGTAAATGATGACACCAATCCACAGCATAACTTTATAATCATCTTTGCTAAGGAACACAAGTCACCTTAAACAATTTAAATGTTGTTCCTAGAGGGAGCAAACTTGTTAGATCTTAGTAAATCCAGTTTAAAGAGACATTTGTTCTATCCCAGTCCCAGTCCACCCCAGTGGAAAATGCCCCAGTCCAGTCCCCCTCTCATCCTGGATGGCATACAGAAGTCGTGGAAGTCTCCGGTAACCATGGCCTTTTTGCTCATCAGGCAAAGGAAAATTCCCTGCAATTATGCCCCACAATTTCCTAGCCCAGGGCTTGCATTGACTAGGGCATCAAGATCACAGATTCATTCCTCTTAAATTTGATCTCAGGGATTTTATCAAAGTTTCATGCTAAAACTTTTGGGAAAATCCCTTT